AAGATAAAAAGAGAAAGAAAAAGAAACAACATAAAGTGGTGCTTAGGAACATGGATTAGGGAACCAGATTGCAGTTATTTGAGTCCCAGCTCTGCCACATTCTAGCTACAACAAAGTACCCAATCTCTCTGCAAATCCTTGTTCTCATCTGGAAAATGGGGGTTAATAATTTCTGTGAGGATTATTTATGTTCACATTTCTGAAATGCTTAAGAGAATACTTGGCCTATGATAAACCACATAGTAAAGTGTTTCATAGTTAAGTTAAATATTTGACACTTTTGAGAATATACTATAGGTATGGGTCAAGTCAAAGGTCATCTCCTTTATGAGACTGTTTTCAGTAATCAAGTATGTTTTTTGGTGAGACTGTTTTCAGTGATTCAATCAACAAGTTTTTTTGTTTTTGTTTTTGTTTTCTTGAATGCCTGAGAGGTTCAAAGTAGTGCTCTCAGTCTAGGATTAAGGTGGTAAACAGAGCTGACACTAAACCTAACATCATGGACATTTATTGTTCTAATCTTCTAACACCTTACATATTATTCTAATCTATTAGAGGATTCACCATGTTTTGATAACATTTATTAAATGTTACTTACATAATTATTTTCCTCCATTGTCTATACGTTTTTCCGGAGCCTGCAATGTATGTTTCTTTCCCTTTAAGTTTAAATAAAGAATAGATACTCAAAAATGCCAGTTGAATTAAGAAGGAAGAGAGAGAGAGAGAGAGGGAAGAAGGAAGGAAGGAAGGGAGGTAGGGAAAGAGGGAGAGAGGAACCAATAAGGGGCAATGTCATTATGTGACTTTAGGTAGGATACTTAACCTCCCCAATCGCCAGTGCCATCAGCTATTAATGAGGATGATGATAATAGTACTGACTTTGATGAGATCAAAAGAACTAATGATTTGAAAGCTTGTAGCACAATATATGACATACAATAATCACACCATTTAATATATTACTTTATAAACTAATGAACAAAATAGACTTTAGAGATAACATTCTCTAAAGACGGTGCTATGATTCAACATGTGTAGAAAGTGTTAAAATCCCTTGATGCATGTGTGTGTGTGCATGCAAGTACACAAAATGGCATTTCTAAGATTTCAAAGTCCTGTAATTTTTATTTGAGCAAATAAAAATGGTACCAAAAGATTCATTTTGTCTAACTTACTACTCACCATTTTAGTGCCATGAACAAAAGGATTGTAATGTTGGGTCCCTGCCATACTGTTATACAGACCAATTGCAGCAAAGTCAATGAATCAAATGCAATTTAGTCTGGCTCAGCCAGATCCAGCTGGAGGCTGTTTCTGCACATGAAGCAGAAAAAACATTATAGACCATAATTTCTGCTCAGATCAGTCAGTCTCAGTCATTCTAGTTGGCAGGCAGTTAGTCTGACTAAAATGATTCTGCGTGAATGATTCTGTAATGGTGGAGAAAGCACAACATTTAACCTGTAATAAAGTAGACTGGGTACATTCTTCTTAACTCAATAGAGGGTGACCACCAGGCATTTAGGCTGTAATATCACCTTCTATATACCTCCCTAAGAAACTGCATTTGGATATGTAGAAAGTTACAAAATCAGATTATTGACCTTTGAACCTAGTGCCTTAATGGAATAAGTCTTTTAAGTGTCCTAGATAGAGATGAGAATATTTTGCAAGTGGGGATAATAGTAACATTAGGACCAGTGTGACCAGAGGACTGGCTGTGGAAGAATGTAAAAAGAGCCATTAATTCTGTCCCTGCATCTACATTCTTACAATATGACATTGCAGATTTTACCATCATGAGATAAGTTGTGTGTACCCACATCTTGAATCTGAGCTGGCTGTGTGGCTCACTGCTTTGGATTATGACACAAGAAGAGCCTTTAAAAATTTCCATGCATTAGATCTTGTTCTTTTGCTGTATCTGGAAACCTAAGATAACCACAGAAGATAGCCTGCTGGAGAATGAAAGGAAGAGAATTTAGGTATCCATTCAATGGTAAGCTAGCTTGCAGCCATGAAATAGCCAGACTGTAAATGTAAATGAGGCCACACTGTCAACTAAATGCAGATACATGAGTAAGGCCAGGTGAGGCCAGCAGATCACCATGCACTAATCCAAACCCAGTAGTTGATCTGCAGAATTATAAGTTAATAAACAGCTGTGTCGAGCCATTAAGTTTAGGGATAAGTTATTATATGCCAACTGACACAATGATGAGGGGAGAGGTGGGGGCAACATTGGTGCCATGGTCTATCCCTGGATCCCACATGTTTCTGACAACAAAGAGATTTTGGAGTATGGGCAAGTTGACTTAATTCTAAGCCCAGGTATGTGGCAGACCTAGAGTTTTCCATCCACATATTCCTTATTTCAGGACTGACTGTAAATGAGAGAATCAGATCAGGGAAGATTTAATTTTATATTTAAATATTCAGTGTGACTAGGAATTAGTGAGTTAGAAAACAGCGTGTGGCTTGGGCACTTTTCTAAAATTAAGGGTGTTTTTAATATTTTAAATGGAGATTAGATAATTAAGTGCTTCTGTTGATTTTCTCTAGAGTGGCAGTGGACAATGACTTTGAACTGAGATCCAGATAAATGTTGGTAACAGGTCTTTTTCTGGGTTCTTTGATGGGAAGCCTTGGTGATCATAATGCTCTCTTCCCAATGCCCACCTACTGACATCTGAATCACTGTCCTTGTCTGGTCAACCTGTTCACCATTTCTTGATAGCTTGTGCTGACTAGACCCCAGGCTCAGAGTTTATGAATAATTCTGGCCTCACCATGGCATTCTGGTCAATGAGACAGGCACCTTCACATCTTTTATGTCTATTTTACACCCTTATGTCTATTTGAGAAGAAATGCTAATTAATTTTGTGGCTTTTAAAGTCTTTATTATTTTAGACCCTTATGTTGGCAGCCTCTAGTAGAAAGCAGGTGGACTCTATAGCTGGGGTTCAAATTCTGGGTCCATACTCAATGCATGACTAGTCTTGAGAAACTCACCAAAACATTGTGATCTTACTTCTTCTTCTATAAATGGGAAAATAACATTTGTTTTAACTAGTTGGTGGAATTGTTGTAAGGATCAAAATAGTATCCATACAACACATACACATACACATATGCATAATGCTATTTTAGGATTTCAATAAATATTAATTGTGATTATTACTGTTCTTTGATAGCCTTAAAACTCTAGCAATCAGAGCTAAGGTAGTAGAATACATTGCAATTTAATTCTCTATGTCTTTAGATATGTATTCTAGTCCTTGAATTCAGGATGAAATAGACCTGTGTGGGGAAAGTGAAGAGTCTGAATGAGTATTAACCTTGTTATTGGCTGATGCAGAGAGATTTTCACATATACATGGAAAGTTGGTGGGGGAGGCGGGTGATGATGATTTTACTCTGAAATAGAGGACAGATTCTCTTTCTTTTGAACTGCTTGCCATTTCTATTTAGATGATTCATTGTCTAAGCAACCAAGTCCTTAACTATCTTACAAAGGAGACATTGTCTGTAGGTGTTTCCAACAATGGAATTACAATGCAGTTATGTTGCCCAACTGGTATAACAAGTATCTAGGAAGCCAGCCCAGTGCATTGTCTTTCTTGATTACCAGTTGATGTCAATGAAGAAAACATCTCTGAAAGAAAGAAATAGTTTTTTGGAAGAACAAATAATTATTTTACTTTTTTTTTTCTTTTCCAAAATGCTAATATTTTATTCCTTTCAAGAAGCTCTGCCTTTTCTACATAAATGCATTTTGGTGAGTGCTTTTGACTTTGAGTATATTTCAAAACATATTTCATCATTTTCATGCTTCTGATTTCACATTTTATGCAATGTCTAGAATGACACTTGTTGTATTCATTTATTTCTCACATACGTGTTGGTTGGGTGTTGTGTGTTAAGTATGGGGCCATAGACCAGTCATGCAGAGCAAAGTGAATGGTGTAGTCCCTGATCTTTTAGGCTCTCATTGCTATTCAAGTCTTCTCCTGCCGTACCTCCACTTGCCTTCTTCCCAGAGATTTCTCTTTTTCCCTGATCCCTTTCTCCTGAGAAAACCAGCTCAATTCCAGAGCACCAATAGGAACCACAAAGTATTTTTTATAAATTACTTCATTTAATCTTCTTTGCAACTTCATAAGTTTCATCTATAATGATCATAATTTACAGATGAAAATATTGAACTGTAAGTGATAGAGACAGCATTTAAACCTAAGTTTATTTAATTCCATGGTCCTTGATATGCATTACTTGGTATTACCTTTAGTCTTTGCTGGAAATAAGCCACCTTCCAAAAGTGGATTTTAAGGCCTCTGAAAGTAACCAACATAATTTTCATCTTTATTAATTGATCTGCTTTATGTACATTTTATTGATTAATTCTTGCTATTTATGAAGCATTTAACTCCACCATAGAAATGAGGAAACTGGGAATCAGCTTGGTTAAGAAACATCCCCAAGTTCACTCAGCTAATTAGTGGTAAAACGGGCATTCAAATCAATATCTCATGTCTAAAATCCATGTTTCTAAGCTGCTTCTTTAAGATTTAAGAAATTTATTACAAATTCTTAAAAACAGATTGTGGAGATAAATACAGTTCTACAACAGCAAAAATTTCAGGACAAGGATGATATTAAGGACATATGAATAGACAGGGAAAAAAGTACAAGAAACTCTGATCCTTCTGTTAGCATTCCATTATAGTAACATTTACTAGTGAATGCTCATAATTAATTTTCCTTTCTATCTGCTTGAAAATGAGGATAGAAATTTAGAAAGACAGGAAAGTAAGGCATTAACAGGATTGAGACTATTGGATTATAGTATAGAAAATATGAATTTAGGTTTCTTTCACACATTAAGCATGATAATAATTCCAGATAAGTCAGAGAGTAAAATATAACATGTTTTTAAAAATACCTTATAATATTGAGATTTTTGGTTCTTTTTCTCTAACAGAAGCTGTGTTCTGATGGACAGGGTGCTGGCTTTGAACACAGAAGGTCAGAGTCAATGCCCTACATTTAGCACATTCTACTTCTACAAAATTTGGTAAGTTGCTTAAGGTCTTAAAGTTGCTGTCAAGTAGTCAGATTAGAATAATACCAGGATATCTAAAATATGTAATATGAAAAACTGTGAACGCATACTCATGAGCACACACACACGCACAAACACACAGATGACCCATACTTCTGAGCAGAGTCACTGCCAGTCTCTGTAGTGCCTTTGGTGACCTTGACTTTGTGTTTGGAGCATGAGCTTCTTAGATAATAATTTGTAACTGTCTAAGAATGTCTACATGAAATCAAAACAACTTACTATATCAGTCAAGATAATGAATTGTCAATTAACATGCAAGTCAGTGAAGTAGGTTGCTCAGTACCAGGTAGTACAAACAACTTTAGTTGATAGACTGAATTACTAGCTTATTATATCATCTAGCAGAGTAATATATGTAGACCCGCTCCTAAGTATATGGCCATCCCTGAGACTCTCAATAAAGCAAGATTTTAATGGTAATAATAACGATTCCACTGATTTCTTTATATTTTATAATACTTTTCAGCTTATAAATTGTTCTCATGTGTGTGACCTAATTTAATGGCTCAAAATATCTGACTACATATAAGTTATTTGCCTTTTTCCTCATGCACAAGTCTTTACCGAACAATGAAGACTAACATTCACACCCATAACCTCTTAATGTTCTAATGATATAACTTTATGATCTGGTTAATCAGTTGAAAACCATGTAAATTAAGTGGTTTTATTTATTTGTACTTAATTGTTTGATTAAAGGAATATTTACCTTGGAGTACTTTCAAATAGTATCTCTGTCCTAATAAAGTATGTTTCCATTTAAAAAGTTAGGGACACCTGGGTGCCTCAGTTGGTTAAGAGGCTGCCTTCAGCTCAGGTCACGATCCTAGGGTCCTGGAATCGAGTCCCCCAACAGGCTCCTTGCTCAGCGGGGAACCTGCTTCTCTCTGCCTCTGCCTGCCACTCTGCCTGCTTGTGCTCTCTCTCTCTCTCTGACAAATAAATAAATAAAATCTTAAAAAAGTTAAAATTTATAAACAGATTTTGTATAAGACATGCCTGTTTTAGTCACTAGTTATAGCAAAAGAGTCTTAAATAATAAAATCTATCTCTCACATGCACAAGTCTGATGTCAGTCAAATGTCTTTCCAGAGCTGCTTTTCTCCATGTAGTCACTCAGACTATTTATTTGTTGAGTGCTGCCATTTCGATTAATTGCCTCCATGGTCACTGTCAGAAAGAGAGATTATGGAAGTGGCATACTTGTTCTTAAAAGCTTCAGCTGGAAATAAGATGCATGGATTTCATTTGCATCTCACTGGCTAGAACTAGTCACATGACCCTGCCTACCTGCAAAGGGATCTGGGAAGTACTTTTTTCCTGTGTTGTCTGGAAGGAGAGAAAAATCAGATATGAAAAGCACTAGTAAACTTCACCACCATTTCCCTGCAAATATTGAGATAACATTTCCTTTTATAAATCTCATTTTTTCCACTGACTTCTCTACTTAAAATAATTCAATGTTGAAGTGAGGGATTTTCTTACTTTTTTGAGATATGAAATAAAAGATATTTGACAAGCTTCATGCTTTTACTTTTATCTACAAATTATACATTTTAAACATAATGACAATGCTTTAAAACAGTTTGGTACATGTCGGTAATAGCTTTTAATGACTCAGAAAGAATATAATAATCTACCATAATCAAAACTAATCTGCCATAAAGAGTACAGAAATATCAAATAGCTTATTCTGTGGAAACAAATCCAAATTAATTGCCTCATTTGTTACATCATATATAATATGCACTTTAACAGTGCCTTGACTTTGTATAGACATCTAGTGTCTCAGAGAAATTTAGAAAAACATTCTCAAATAAGGTTTCATTGGAAAAGAAGTAACATAGAAGGATGCAACTCCTAATTCTCTGTGGGTTTTATTAAGGTGATGCAACAATTATTTACTGAATTATGGCATTCTAAGTCCAACAAAAAAATAAAATAAAATAAAGCTTTCCATTACATTCCACTTCTTTGGGGACCCAGCGCATGCATGTTCATGCCCACACACACACACAGGCACACACCCTCTTTCATACAATTTTTTTGAAAGTCCATGTACTTTAATTATCCTACATAAAATGATGAATGAAATGGCTCTTCAACAAAAGGCAGCACAAACTGTCCATCTTTCCAGAATTTGTGGAAATTTAAGCTACCTTGTCTGTTTTTTTCTTTTTTCTTCTCTTTCTCTCTCTCTCTCTCAACAATTATCTTTTGTCTCTGTGTGTTTGTAGCTTTCATATTCTTTGATTGGGTTTGGATCCGGACTGTGGGTTAGGTTAGGTCTCCTGCACATATGCGTCTATGTTCTTATCTGGAGCATCTTTGTGGGATATGGTCTTCTCATGGCTGAGTGTAGGAGCACAAGAGCACAACCACTGGAACTAGGCTGTTCCCAAGATAAAGTATAAAATAGATATTACCTGATGTAATTCGATTTGTAGATTGTTTGTGGGTAAAATGGGGATGCATAAGCAAGCTAAAGAAGAAGGAGGAGGAGAAAGTGGAAAAGGATACAAAAAGAAAGAAAAAGAAGAGGAAGAAGAAGGAGGAGGAGGTGAAGGAGAAGAAATAGAAATTATTAACTCCAGATAACAATTTTTTTCAAGAAAGGAATTTATATAGACTTATATATGTATACACATATATATATGTATGAAACTGTATCAGCAAAATGATGAAGGTGGAGGAGAATACTTTTGAGATGCATATATTAAAGCTAATTCCTTGCCTTTCATTATAGAAAGCTAATTTCTATTTAAAGTAGAATGCCTTCAAAAATTCCGAGTGTTTCCAGAAACAAGTCAGAATTAAAAGTCAAATGCAAAGGACTGAAATGAGAATGACTAGAACTCTTAAAAGCAACACCAAGGCTGAAAGATAATTTATATAATTTGTAACATTTTAAAAACCACCATATTAATAAGGTATAATATTTTAAATATGGGGTTAAACATCAAAGAGAATAGTTAACTGCTTTGAAAATGAATTTTGGGGAGAAATTGTATTCAGAAATGGGGAGGATTGGGGAAAAAAAATGCTGTTTGGAGTTATATGCCTTGTAGTAGCACATACTACATTTATCCAGTAGTTCCTGAAATGTAATTAAGTAACATAGATAAATTATTTTAATAAGTTTAATTTAATCACCCTTTAAAATATGGACCCAGACCAATGGGTATTTGGCTCAATAATATTATTCAAGGCAGAATACATGAAGTACCATAAGATTTTTATAGATTAATATTTGACTGTTTGATAATTTGGGGCTGAATGTGGATCCAAGACGGGATCTAAAATATCCTATTCCCATCTCTCTTTTTCCCCCCTCCTCTGTTACTGTATTATAGTCATAATAGAAAAAATATATATTGTGTTCATTTCATACCATCCAGAAATAAGTGGACTTTGTAGAAAATATCTAAGAAGTATTATTATGTTAGTTGTTATTCCTTAATTATTACTTCACCTGTATTGGGTTTGCTGGCTACTTGTAAGGAATTTTACTAGAATCTAAATTTAAAATGCATCTGCTTGATAGTCCTCATACTTCACAAAGCAATGACTAACTTCCTGTTTGTCTCTCAAGTGTGGCCACAATTTAATTACCTGGATAATGTGGTTTTAAAAGACAGAATAGTTGGTGGGCTTTGCTTTCAAATACCATTCTTTTAAGCATTACAGAAATATTTTCTCTAGAAAATTAACTACAAAACACCCAATCAATAGATCTATTATAAATTGGTTTTATCTCTAAGATCCTTGCAAATCTAAAATGGAAAGAGCACTAAACTTGGACTCAGAAGGTCTAACATTCCTCCTAACCGCTATAAATTTAGCCAAGAATTTAACCTCTAAGTGGCTCAGTTTTCTCATGTAGATGATGGACATTAAGTCATCTATTCAGTAAATACATACTATATGTTTACTGTTTGCAGGCATTCTGTATGCATGGAGGATACAGGATTGAAGAGAACAGTAATGCTCTACTAGCCATCTGGATGTCTTCTCTGGAAACATGTCCATGCATGTCTTCTGCCCATTTCTTAACTGGATTATTTGGGTTTTGGGTGTTGAGTTGGTGAATTCTTTATAGATTTTGGATAATAGCACTTCATTGGATATGTCATTTGTAAATATCTTTTCCACTTCTGAAGGTTGTCTTTTGGTTCTGTTTATTGTTTTCTTTGCTGTACAAAAACTTTTATTTGATGAAGTCCCAATAGTTTATTTTTACTTTTATTTCCCTTGCCTCTGGAGACACATCTAGTAAGAACTTGTATGGTCAAAGTCAAGAAGTTTACTGCCTGTGTTCTTTTCTTGGATTTTGATGGTTTCCTGTCTCATATTTAGGTCTTTCATCCATTTTGAATTTATTTTAGGCATGTTGTAAGAAAGTGGTCCAGTTTCATTCTTTCGCATGCTGCTGACCAGTTTTCCTGGTACCATTTTTTGAAAGACTGTCTTTTTCCCATTGAATATTCCTTCATGCTGTGTCAAAGATTAGTTGACCCCATAGTTGTGGGTCAATTTCTGGGTTTTCTACTGTGTTCCATTGATCTATGTGTCTGTTTTTGTGCCAGTACCATACTGTCTTGATGACTACAGCTTTGTAATATAATATGAAGTCTGAAATCATGATGCCTCTTGCTTTTCTTTTTCTTTTTCAGGATTTCTTTGGCTACTCAGGGTTTTTGTGGTTCCATACAAATTTTAGGGTTGTTTGTTATAGCTCTGTGAAAAATGCTGGTGACATTTGATAGGGTTTGCATTAAATGTGTAATTTCTTTGGGTACTATAGACATTTTAACAACATTTATTCTTCCAATCCATGAGCATGGAATGTTTTTCCATTTCTTTATGTCATCTTCAATTTCTTCCATAAGTTTTTTATAGTGTTCAGAGTATAGATCTTTTACCTCTTTGGTTAGGTTTATTCCTAGGTA